ATACATATTAGTAAACCGTTTGATTTGTTTGTTTGTTTTAGAGCAACGCCATGTGTACCTTGAGCTATTTGCTGTATCTACTGCGAATCGCTTCTCAACAGTAACGTGTTTTGACTCTTTAATATTCAATTCTACAAGGAGTATCTCGTAGTTAGATCAACATTCTTCTTATCAACATGTTTTTAAGTATAGAGTTAAACGCCCCCTTTTTTGACCTGTGTAAAGTAGTTTACATGTAGATCAGTTATATTCTCACCTGTGGTTGGATACTAGCACCCACTGAGGGGACAGACTGGTAGGAGTCGCTACCGTTCATGCTCATAGAATACATTCCGTCACTAGATGGCACTGCTCCTGGTGGTGGAGGTGGACTGATCATCTGTCCTTGGCTCGATATCATGGCGTACGCGGAAGCGCCACCTACAGCTGCTGTAACAAAGTTACCTGCTGTAAATTGTATCTGCATGTTAAAATTCTACACATACAACTAAATTGCTTATCTTAAATTATTAAGTTCATATTTCTGGTGGAATTTCCTATATATTGAATCCGGGAAGAAAACTAAATGCTCAAACACCGAGGTAATTAGGCCTAGCACTACATATAGAGAGGGGTTGAGTACGTTATACTAAAACGGTTTTGAATAGACAAATCTGCAAGTTACGTGACACCACAGCCGACATAAAGTCGCGATAGAACGACATGTATCGAACCTGCATTTTGTACCTCGTTTGGCGTTTTATAGGTAGTGTGGGGCACTGAAATTTGATCGCTTTTGAAAAAGGTATGTAACAGCTCTTTCTGATGTAACATTTTCATACACTCATATCATAAATATGTCTGCATATTGGGATTTAGAATTTCCACGACGGAGATATCCCTTGTACTTAATGCCATTGTAAAACACAGAAATATGGATCAACTTGGAGACCAGGACCATTGAGAAAGAGACCTGCAACAAGTCGTACCACAGGCGTGGTAAGCAAAGTGTGGCGTTTTGTAAAAGGTGAGAATTCACGAACACAAAAGTCTTTGGCAAAAGCCGAATACGTACTACAAGCAACAAGGCGCAAAATAATCAAGAAAGGTCTCCTTCTTGAAAAGCAACAGAAGTCACGTGTAAACAGATTGTTTCCACGACATATCTGTTCAACCGTTGCATATCTCAAGCATGTGGAGAATGAAGAAGAGTATCCATGCTATTCCACACGACGACATACCTATGAATTTTTGTATATGAGCTTTCAGACAATTGAAATGGGGGCTTTCATTGTACACTAGATGGATTATTGAAAGCCTGCAGGGAGGAATGGTGTGCTTTTGACACGACAGCTTTACCACAGAATGTTTTTCAATTGAAACTACGTTGCGGAGACGTCAGATAGAGGATGACTGGACATTATTATGCGGACTTTAACGACGCGGTAAAGTTCCAAAACCTTTTCAATACAACGTAATCAATTTTGTATTTCTGATAGGTTTGCTTACAAGATGAAAGTTTACACAACTTACAAGTAGTAAAGATAACGCAGATTGGAACCTAAAGTGCCACCTATGGTTATGATTTCGAAGACTTAGAATCATTATATTTATTCAAATAATCCACAGAGACCTTTCACACATTTACTGCGACCTATTGTTTATTTCTTTTCTTTTTTAAGAAAAATATATATTATCTTTAAAAGAAGTTTAATAAAACTAACAAACACACATACACACACACACACACAACGCCACCTATTTGTGATTGTTCATTTATTCAATAACTCGCTAATTATTAAACAGTGGCTGAGCGAGGCGTAGTGTTTATCATGTTGGGCTGCACATCAAAGTAGTATCACTGAACATGTTCCGCAATTTCAGCTGTGATAGGTGTTGTAAGAGTGACAGCCAGTTTTTATCATACAAAACCCTCTTGACGAAGGATGCTGCTGGCCGATCATCTTCCATCTGGTCAGTAATTCAAAATTAGGGCCTGCTGTACTTAAATCCTAGGGATCTCTTATCTCGCCGTTTAACGTAAGGTGCGAATCAAATTAAAAATGGCAATTGGCTATCTGTGCTGTGCTCATCACGGTGATCGAAACCTGATTTATAGCGTTATAAGCATTCAGATTTACCTCTGAAATACTGGAGTAGGGGGTGACAATTGTTAAATAGCGTGGATACCAAAATTATGACTGTCGTATAACCACCTTCAGCACAAAAAAAAAACAACAACCAAGTTTTCTCTAAAAATCCAACGAATCACCTTTACAGAATAACGTTAATAATTTTCTACTTTAGTCCTAGCCCCCTATATTGTTTAACCGAGTAACGTAAACTTGAACTTCAAAATGAATGGAATAAGAAGTAGACGTATGAATCTTCTAACTTTTGTCTCTGCTCCGTAAACGACGTTGCTATAACAGACAGTATGCACGATATTTTGGGAAGTTTAATATTTCTGAAATTCGGTAGCCCTAAGTAGTTTCAGGCGACTAATTGGAGATAAATACAGCCTTGTATGAACATTAATGTATCCTAATTACGTGATGTTCTTCTAGTACCAGTACTCAGTAGTAATGCATCCAGTTCTTGTGTCATTTAATATGTACAGAAAGGCTTAAACGGGTATCACGTTTCCATAGCTACCAAAAGAGACATCGCGACGTTTCCATAGTTACCAAAAGAGACATCACCTTATTTATGCTAAATGGCAAACAAATTTTCAGGGCAAACAAAAATTAAGTATTGTTATTATAATTAGACAGGTAGCTTACAATAAACAACCAAAATCGTACACAGGTGGCGCGACGAGCGTTTTTTCGAAAGATGCATCTTAAGACTACTTATTACTTAAGAGGCATTAAACAGTGCAGTTTTTTGTTTGTTTGTTTAAACGCCCTGGAATATCCGCACTGTGCTCTCTGCGGGGATCTAACTACGAATCGTACAATTATCAACCCCGAGTTAACTGCTAAGCCACTAGGGGTGGGTCACAAAATGCACAATGGATTACATGATTAGATAATGAAAACGTGTTTAAAACATTTATATCAACAGGTCTTGGTGATTATCGGTTAACTTCTTATCACTTCTCCGTAGTTCTATAATCGTAAAGTATTCAAGCAAACGCCGTGCTTATCGCTTTGAAACGTAACATTACGAAATCGAAAACAAAATTCGGAGCAAGTTATGTATATATATATATATTTTTTTTTTTCAACCAGACGCCTTTCTCCTTTCTTGATCACTTAAAAGCATTTCTAAATCCCTCTTTTCATTTTGTTTCTCTCTCTTTTTATCTCCCACCGCTCCATATTTCTTTCGGGCAGAGCTAAGCCATCAACAAATTAAATTATAATGAAGAGGATCTGATACGAAACCAGACAGATCCGATCCCAAAGGAGAAGAAAACCGGGAAACTTTTGGAAGTTCGCAAGAGAAGAAGAATGGTGATATTAAATGGGGGTTGGGGTGGCAGGAAGCTAGTTTGTGGGGAGGAAATTTATATTTAGGAGACTACAGGGAATAAATCTGTAGTATAGGTGATATCACTATGGAAACAATCGGACTATGTAAATTGTTGTTTCCATAGTGATACGACTATATATATATATTTCTAGTTTCCTGGTGAAAACATCACTTGAAACACGAGAGGGCAAGTGAAAATAAAACAGTAGATAGAGTAAGTTCAAAACAATGGTTCAGCAGTTTGTCTGAAGGCTTAATACGCTAAAAACCTAGTTTTGATAATTGTGGTGGGCACAGTAGAAATAGTTAATTGTGTCACTGCAGAGCGACTGAGGTTCACCTACAACACTGTTGAAAAAATAAACTAGCAACAAGAAAAAAAAAAAACAGATCTGGGTGGACCCTGTCCACAACCGCGCTTTGATGTTAGTCAGAACCGAATAATTTAAAGAAATCACCGGCAGCCATCTCATAAACCACCAGATTCGTTTCCAATATAACAAAGCCACATCGAGCCCAGCTGCCGTGTGCATGGCAGGGATCCAACCCCGGTTTTTGGTGTTCGCTGTCCCACCTACCCGGGAAACCCACCAGTTTTGTTCGAAATATCGGTAATACTGAAAATTAACAGACGTACGAATTCAACTACAAAAAACAATTCAAGAATAATTTAACTTACAACATACCAGTTATAACTTTCGGTTAACTGTTCTGCCAAATAAGACATCCGATTAAAAATGATTGCACCAACCTAGTGTAAGTACTAACTAAAAACTCAGACTTACACAATACTTTAGAAACTTTATTTAGGGCATCAGGCCTTACTTAACAATTCCTACATTGGAATTGTATATAATTTAGGGAAATAGGATTCCTCACGGTTCTCTCCTTCCCGATGACCCACCGAACTATATATATATATATGCTTGTTTGTTTATTTTTGGAATTTCACGCAAAGCTACTCGAGGGCTATTCGCACTATCCATTTCTAATTCAGCGTTGACGGACTAGAGGGAATGCAGCTAGTCAACATCACCCACCCGCCAATTGTTAGGCCACTCCGTTATCAACGAAAAGTGGGATTGACCGTCACGTTATAACGTCCCCAGCTGAAAGGGCGAGCATCTTGGGTGACGGGATTCGAACTCGCGACCAGCAAGTTGCGAGACGAGTGTTTTCAACTACTACCGGGCCATGTCAGGCTGTTAGAAAGGTCGAAAGGGCGAGCATCTTGGGTGACGGGATTCGAACTCGCGACCTGCAAGTTGCGAGACGAGCGTTTGCAATTACTACCGGGCCATGTCAGGCTGTTAGAAAGGCCTGGTGCTTTTTAATAAAGTTTCTTAAAATTATTTTTTTTTGTAAATATTAAGGGTGTGTGATTGAGGTTTTAACAAGGCATCTGATGCTCAGCTACGAATCCTAATGACGGAGAAACGCCGTATAGGAAAAAAAATCAGTGAATCCTAGTGATTGAGATACGATTTCAGAATGGTAAATAATTGCCAAAATACTGTCTGACCGGAACCGATATTTTCTGACACACTCTTAACAAACATTCGACATCTTACGGAAAAAAAGTGGTTTATTTATTGAATCGAAATTCCGTCCATCGGGTACAATGTTTCAGTGGTTTGAAAGCTTTTCTAGATATTATAGACAAGCATCGGTACAGAGAGAGAGAGAGAGAG